CATTTGTTTCTTTTGGCCAAGAGGGTTGTCTGTTTGACCTTAGCTGAGGCTTTTTTGTAGTTAATTTTGTTTCCTGTTGTAGGATTGCTTTCAAGAGTTTTTCGAGCATTTTCTCTGTCTTGGACTGCTTGTTCGATGTTCTTGTTCCAGAAAGGCTTGTACTTTTTCCTGCAACCCCTAGGGATACAGAGAGCCGCAGCCTTGAGCAGGGAATCTGTTATTGCACCACAGAAGACATCAACAGAGGGGTTTGGTGTAACTAAGTTAAAAAGTGCACATTTGTTTCAGATTTCGTTGAGCCGCTCACAGCGGTCGAATGGATGCAGCGGAAAAACTCAGAGCCGCTGTCAGCGGCCGAATGGACGGAATCAGTTAATGGCAAATATCTCGACTTCTACTCAATAGAGATGGGTATTTTTTAACCAAAAGCAAGGCGAATACTTTAAGTCATCAATAACTCAATATGCCCCAAAACTGACATGCCTGATTCCACCACGCTGCAATACAAATTGTGTTCAAGGTCGCTAGTCAGGCAATTGGTTTTAGTCAGACAATCAGTGTGCACTGAAGCCGCCAGAAAAAGTTAACCGAACCAATCCTGCAATGGGCACTGTTATGTTACCCTTACACCAGCTCTAACTGTAATTAACCCTAGACCCCTTTTTTCCCTTACCACTATTCTATCCTTGACCCCTACCTCTACCTTTATTGTGACCCTTTCTTTATAAATTTCTCAAATCCAGCAAACATGAATAAAGCATGCACATATCTAGTAGTTCTGGAAGATTGTCCAGACATAAAGAACATGCTCTCTATCTTAAGTATGGTATGGTGTTTAGTGTTATATGTTACACATTTCGTAATGGGCATCGTAATAAAAGGATAGACTGATGGAAAGTGCATATTGTGCCTTGTTCAGTGTCAAAAAACAAGAAAAGGAAAAGAATTATGCAGGTCAGATTCATGACAATTTATGTAACCAATACATTGCGCTTGCAAGAGCGAAATGCTCGCAGCTAAAGGGATTTGAAAACAACAACAACATGTAACCAACACTGGTCACAGCATGTCATTGTCACCCACCCCTGTTATGTAAAACCACTTTTTGGTTCAAACAACCACATATATTATGCATACACACACGCAAATTACATGCACACAACACAAAAACATAATTCACCCACCATACAGCTCTCTGCAGCACCACACTGTGACTGCCTGTCTTCAATCACACACAATCACCGAGCACCCACCCTCACAAGACCAAATTCAAGGAAGTTCTAGTGCCTTGCACACATATTTTTATGCAGTGATTCATCCCAATACGTGCAGTGTGTATAAATGCAGTGTGGGGGGTTGAGCCTGGTGAGCTCATGTAATGTAATCTATCTCATTGATGAGTGGGTTGTTTTCCATCCTGTATGCAAGGCAATTTGGTTTGAGAGAATTTTGAGGGGAAAAAATTGATCAGACTTTTCAAGATGAGCTGTTCAACATAAAATTTAGCGGTTCTGTCTGGGAATGGCATTTTGTTTGAGCTATCTGTAGTGAATTGGGGTTTTGTATTTTTGAGTTTTCTGTGGTCGACTGTAACCTAAACTGCTTAAAATTTTGCTTTTTGTGCCCAGCATATTGTCACTGTCAATCTTCTAAGATTTTGGCTTTCTTTTACTTAACTAATAAGTATTCAGTCAAACCTGTCCGTAACGGTCGTTTTAAAGGGCACAGAGAAAAATCAATGTTATATAATATGGACAAATGGCTGCTATGGGTAGGGCCTGAGCTATGATCACTTACTAGAATTGACAAATTCAGTAGATGGTTTAAAACATGAAATGTTCATTTTGTCTTCCCAGTTCATTTCCATCAAAATTGTTGTGTATCATCATAAAGTCATTGAGTGTCATTGGAGCTTCTTTGAGTGTACACACTAAGTATGCTGAGGATGGGATGGCGGAAAACTTTTGTAACAAGTGACTGCTATGAGCAGGTTTTGAGGCTGATTTGATACGAAAATTAATAAATGACTGCGGTTGCATTGGACATGTACAACTAAAGACTGGTTAAAAATACAAGGGTGTCATGCAACAGTGACTCTCAGTACAAAGTACAAGCGACCTCTATGGAGAGGTGACCACTAAAGTGGGTTCGACTGCACCTCATCTTTTTCTTTTTTCCAGAATGGAGAATTATTCACACTGACATACGGAGCTTTAGTGGCCCAACTGATCAAAGATTATGAAAATGATGAACAAGTTAATAAGCAACTGGACAAAATGTAAGTAAGAGCTTTTTGGGTCTTTCCCTTCATTCATTTTGGTATATGGTTATTACCCTTAAGGCCCGCCATGACATTCGATTCATGCTTGAGAGATTGAGGTACTCTTGATTTTTCCTCTATTTTTTTTTCATATATAGACAGAAAAGTATACCTGAACGCACTGAAAGTCTTGAATATACAAAATGAGTAGAGAAGGGGTAAAATAGATCTGAACAAACTAGGGGTCTTCAATTTTGTTGCGCAATTATACTTTAAATACCCTGAATTGAAACAGTGCTTAGTGTTGCATGGTTGCAAAGATATAACCAATATATTCATGAAAGGTACTTTTTTCTGTTATAATTTGTCTTCACGTCACAATTTTTTCACACTGTTACAAAGTGTTTTGTCATGAAGACTTATTAAAAAACTTAAAGGGGTGGGGTAGACTTTCGGGTTATTTTCTAGAGTGTGTGTCTTCATCTCACACTGATGGTGATGAAGAAAAAAGTCATGACCACATTCATTGCTAAATTTGACATGTTTTTTCTTATTTCAGTGTTACCTTAAGTGAACACCTCATTGTATGCTTGTTTCTGGAAGGGTTTCTTTTTCCCCCAGTTTTTATTTTCAAGGCGAATGTTGTCTTTTTTCACATGTAAACATAAATGCTTGTTTCTTTCCTTTTAGGGGATACAACATGGGTGTGCGCCTAATTGAGGACTATCTTGCTCGTGCCAATACTGGGCGATGTAATGATTTCAGAGAGACAGCTGATGTAATAGCAAAGGTAAGGGAGTTTTTTTAATGTCAAAAGCTGATTAATTTTGGATTCAAGGTTAAAGTGCATTCTGTTTAAATTGTGTTCTTCCGAATACAAGTCACTAAGGTTGTTAGCCTGGGTCACATTATCGCTTTGGTAGGTGGAAAGATTTGACCTTGTAGAGTTTTTCTAAGGGTCTGTCCTGTGTGGCTGAAGGACTGTGGCTGTTTCTCTGACTCCTAATGTTCATACAAGTGAGAAATGGTTTTAGGTCAATTTTAGAGAACGAGAGATCTGGGCTACATACTTTTAGAGTGCCTTAGCTGATTTATTACACCCCAATGATAGATACAGTAGAGTCTGCTTAAGGTCAATCTGATAACAGTACGGTATCAAAAGAAAAGTAAATCCCCGATATGTCTTCCTTGTCCTTGTATGAAAACTATCAATTAGAGGAAATGCTCCCATCTCTAAACCAAAAAGAATTTCAAGGGGGTTGTCGACTAAATCTTCGCAAGCAACCCTCAAGTAACGCAAATCATCAAGTCTTACTCGCTTCAATATAGTGAAACAGAAGAAAGAGGCACAAGAATAGAAAGGACACAAAAACACGTTTGTCGATTTCGGATCGAGGAAGCATTGCAAGTACCATGTTTTCCTATGTTTATTACACATATATATATCGATAGGCATACACACAGTAATTAGGCCTACACTAATAATGATCAAGGATAGAGAATGTACATCGTACATCTGTCACATGACATTATGTTGGTCATGGCCTATTATCTCAGTGAAGATTGTTCACAAAGGCCCTGTAATGAGCATGTGATGGCACATGGTGTTTTTAAAAACTGAAAAGCGGGCTAAACCAAAGAAAATCCGATAGCCCCACAGATTTCGGTTTAAGCAGACCCCACTGTATATAAGACATTTTTCCCATTAGTCGCTTCACATTGTGGTTTTCTTTTTTATTGTTCAACACTTTAGTGCATATTGATGAGTCCTGACTGTCCACTGGCCTGGCAAACTTGGTCTGCTCGTAGCCTACAGAAGAGTAGGCAAGGTTCTTTTGTGGACAGCTATTTTAAAATTTTGCTTATGACAATACGAAGTGATGTTATAATTGCTGTATATGTATGCCTTGTGTCGTATTTCCAGGTAGCCTTCAAAATGTACCTTGGTTTGACTCCGGTGGTAAGCAACTGGAGCGCTGCTGGTGATGAATTTTCTCTTCTGCTCGAATCAAACCCTCTCACAGAGTTTGTTGAGCTTCCCCCTGGTCACTCAAACCTGAATTATTCCAACATCATGTGTGGCATCCTAAGGGGTGCTTTGGAAATGGTAATTTGATATTATGACTGTGTTATTTTTTCTCATGTTGGGGTCTCTTTAAATTGTAATTTGTTTTCTCGTAAACTCAAAATTTTAAAAATGTTATTTATAACTCACTGTAATGGACAAAATTTGGTGGAAAAGTTGTTCTATTTATCAGAAGTTCTCAGCCTCAAGAAAGTTGAAGGGCACCACTGGTAGGTCTTCTTCTTTACTTTCTGTCTATTGTTTCTGTCTGTCTACCTTACTTTTTCCCAACACTAAATGACCATTATTATGTTGATGTGCTTCTCTTTACTCAAGCAAACGGCTCTATAATTCTTGATAAATGTTATATTCAGTTGAACCTGCTGTAACAGCCGCCTGTCCGAAACAATCACCTGTACAAACACCCAGTTCCAACTTCCCCCTTGTTTATATTAAAATGACACTGTTCAAGACGTCTACCTGTGTAAGACAACCTCTTATCTCCTACATTTGACAGGGTGAGACATTCCTTTGGGTTTGTTGGGGGTTTTTTGTTTTGTTTGTTTGTTGTTTGTTTTTGGTGTTTGTTTGTTATTGTTGCTTGTTGGTTTGTTGGGGTGTTGTTGTTGGGGTTTTTTGGGGGGGGGCATTCATACCCGAGACGTATTGCAGATTTGGTGAATTTCACAGCCCCCAATTTGATTTCTTGATTGTTGTTGTCTATTTTCAGACCACCAGTTCAGTGCATAGTCTCTATAAAAATACCTCCCAGTTTATAGTTTGTAAGGGTAGGGGCAAGATTTCTTTCTTGAAGATTGTTCTTTTTGGTACTCTGAACTTCAGTAATAAGACTGTGTAGTTTTTCTCACGATTGAAGTTTCTCAACATGTAAAAAGTCATATATCAATATAATGTTTCACAACGCGGTGTATCAGGCGTTCGTCAATATTTGGGCATATATGGAGTTATTAGTATCATCTTAAAGAGTGTTCATTTGTCTTGCGTGCTGCCTCACACATGTGAAAGTGAAAGTCTAGTGTCAACTGCAGTCTTTTCTTAATAGTACCTTATAGTAGGGCTGGTGTACAGTGGGAGGGGATGCTCCATTTCTCTTCCACCCCACCTCCACACCTCACTCCAGTGATCTGTCCATCAGTTAAAGAAGTTTGAAAGGTTAAGAAACTCTGTTGTCACCATATTTCCTAGATTAGTGTACAGAGGACTGAGAAGTGCTGTTCTAGTTTGCTATGGTTACTTCATGAAAGATTTTTGGCCTAGCATGCTTTTACACATATTGATACAAATGTTTTCCCAGTTTTGTTTCCTAGTAGACACCAAGTGCTCTACATTTGAAGAGAATGTCATCCAGTACATATATATAAATAACTAGATTCTAGATCTTGTCCCACCAAGATACAGCTTTGTCTAGCATTTAATTTGCACTCACAATGGAAAACAACCTATCCCATTTATTGTGAGAGCATTCTTACAAAGGACCAGTAGATATAAAGCATTATTTTGTTTCCTAACTTCACCTACTATAGCATTCAATGTGAGAGTCTAGCAGTGCGCGGCGCAGTTTGACCATAGTTCCTTTGTAAGAGAGGGCTTTTATCAGTCAACGGTAGCTGCCCACAGTGCTGCCTCCATTCTATTTGTATCCTTCTGGCATTTTTCACACAACATTATCAATAAACTACAAAGTTTCAATCCGCTGCATGAGAAACGGAAAACGCCGTAGAAAAAGTGTCTTTTAGTTGTTTCTTTTAAACCAGTAACATGTATAAAAGATGTTATTTTGTGATTTTAGATTGAGTAAAACTTGAGTTTCTGCTATTTTGTCATTGCCGCAATGGACAGATGAAGGGGGTGACCTCTGTTTGTCATTCAGCGCATCGTGTTGATTTTTAATATCAGGCTATGAATTGTCTCATTCTCTTAAGCAATGAATAGCAAGTGGCTTTTCCAACCTTATATCGGACTTATTAAATTTATAGACTGAGTACAAATTAGTCAAAAACGAAACAACAACAAAATTTGAGAAAATTCATTCAAAAATACACCTTGTCTGCAATTCCGGTATCAAAATGAAGAGATTCTATTTAATTAAAGAAGCCAAGGCTCAAACTCGATGGGATTGGAAAATATTTTCTCTTTATACTTGGACTGTTAAAAATTTGATAATGTCCATGGTATTAATTTTGATTATGACCTCTCCAGGTACAGATGGATGTGGATGTAAGATTTGTGCAGGACACCTTAAAGGGGGACAACATTACCGAGATAAGGCTCAAGTTCATCAAACGGTTGGAGGATGCTGTTCCAGTTGGAGAAGACTAAAAAATATTCGGGGTTTTTTTCTGTTTTTCAGTGTGTTTGATCTACCTGAATGTCCTCTGCTTAGTGTAAGACTCCGCCATACGTTGTTTTGAAAAGTTGCGTATGACAGAGCCTTACACTGTGCAGTCAGTGTGCTGGATGTGTGTATGTGTAACTGAATGTCATACACTTCAAGGGAGTGTACTGGATGATTTTGTTTTAAAAGTGTTGGTAGTTGCAATTTTGTAATGATTCTATGGTACAGGTACTACTTTTCTGTGGACATATATATTTGGATGTTTTCACGTAGGGACCAAGTTTTAGTCTTGAGTTATCTTTATGCTATGCAGCAATATGTAGGTACATGCACCTGGCATTTTAATTAATTCTTTGGTTCGGTTGTCAATATTATTGTCATATATTTAGGTAGGTACGGTACTCAAAAACAACCTTTGCGCTGAGGAGGGAAAGATGCTATTTTTCACACCGTTCTATCCATAAGTCTCAAAGTTTATATTCTCTGCGTGGAAAAGCAAAATACATGCCTAGAAAGAGTGTCTTTTTGCTGTTTCTTTCATACTAGTGACGTGTACAAAAGATATTATCTTGTGCTTGCTTTTGTGGAGCAAAACTAGTGTATGTGCCATTTTTTTAAGCTGCTGTGACTGACAAACCAGGGAGTGACTTCCTTTCACTTTCATCATTCAGCAAACCATGTCAAAATTCAGTATTGGGCAATAATTTCATTTTCTTCAGCAGTGCATGGGCTTTCCACATCAAACTTATTTATGATAAATAACAAGGTCAATTAAGTGTACTGCCGTACTTGATGGTAAATAGGTAGCTCTATTAAGTAGGCTGGTGCACGCTAGCATATATAGCTATGCGGACCTCTTTAATCAAGGTGACCAGAGTCATTTGATCAAGTGAGATGTACCTGTTTTGGTAATGGATAGCTTTCTTACTTAAAAGAATGAAATTAAACATCTTGATAAGATTAAATTAATTAATAGTTGTTACAAATTTTTTAATTATCTATGAAACTGATCTAATTGCAACAAAACTTGAAGATCAAAACCTCAGTCCAAATGCCTTTTGAGTTCCTCATGTCATTGTCACACCCCTCAGAAGTCTGTATCAAGGTGAATGTCTGCTGTGTGCATCTTGTAGAGTCTGTTGTTCCTCCAACCGAGTTGGCAAGAAGCTGATACATGTCCACAAGACGCTTACTTTTTTCCCCAAAGTTCATTTTGTATATTTTGTCGATTGTTGTGCTGTGGAAAAAAAAGGGATCTAGTGCAATGTTGAGTGACATGAAAGAAAGTGAATGTATTGAAACTGTATGGTTTTAGTCTTAAAAAGGCTTTCATAGTTGAAATAAATCCTCCCAATGGTGTGCAGCATCTCTAGTGAATCGAATGTGCCTGTGTTTTGTCTGAAGTGTGTTTTCTACTCTTGTGTTTACTTCTTCCTGCTCTATGATTGGTATCAGCGCTGTGTGAGTGATTGCTTTTTTGAGTACTCAAAACATAGACTGGCTCGCAGTATTGTCCCTTCCTTTTGCTTTAAAAATCGAAGTAAAGTTCTCCTGAGTCTGGGTATGTTAAAAAAAGAGCCAGACGCAGGACCTCCTATTTCATGTCCATCTCCTACTAGACCGAACCAAGTGGGTGGAAAGTCAAAAAGAACTCTTCAAACATCCCACTGACAAGTGACAAGAACGCTCGAAGAGGAATTCTCAGAACGCTGTCTTTCATGTCAAAGTCAATGCCCTTATATCAATGAGTTAAAAGTCATTCGAAATCAGAGTCCCAGCCTACCCCCCGCGGCAGTGCCACCGACTGAAGTGACTGAAGTGTCTTTAGGCCATTTCTCGTTCTTATGCACAGTAGAATTGTAAATGGGCTAATTCAACAATGTCATGCTCATAACTGTGCCTGAACTACAACTGGGAACTGCTGCTTTTTCTTTCTTAATCCTTACTATTGTCATTTTCCTCTACTTCTTTTGTATGTTTGTCACACTCTTGTGACCCGCTATTTCCAGGTTGTCTTGAAAGTTGAAACAGACTTTGTGCTAGAGAGGTGAGCTGAGTAAGTCTGATTCCCTGTAAGGACTTCTCTGTTAACATCCACCCCTTGGCACTCATGTGACCTTATGCAGTTGCGAGCGCTGTAAAATCTGTACTAAACTAAACTAAAGGGTTCAAGCCTTTATAAACAAGATCTGAAAACAAAACTAAGCTTAAGTCCTTTCTTGTAAAGTGCAGAAAAACAGCTTAGCAATGCACCTTTTTTCCGATTTCCTCAGTTCGCTCAGAACCAACCCATTATCATGGGATTTGGACTTGGCCACAGTCTTGTTCCCAGTCTGAGATCTACAGTTTGGTACCTGCATCTTTGGGGGCTGTTCAAATATAATCTTACACCTTTTTGTGGACTTTTTTACCACCCCCCCTTTCTTACACTTTTCTTACATTTGCCCTTACCCTTCCCCCCCCCCCCCCCCCCCCCGTAATATTACATTGTTTGCTTATAATGCTAAAAATAATATGACATTATTTATATCGCGCAAATCCGTAAAACAATCATTGCTCTAAGCGCATTGCATAATGTTCATGAAAAACATGCATACACACATATATGCATGCACATAATATATAATAATATATGCACTAAAAAATAATAGGTGTCACGACTTGGTGGGATCAAGCGCTCGTCAGTTTTGATTTTGAGGCATACAGAGTTATTGATATCATCTTACAGCCTGTCCATTTGCCTTCCTTTTGATGAAAACAATATTCATCTATGCTGAAAAGAAGTCGAAATAATTGTGATTGAAGGAGGTGGGGTCACCTGATTTCAGAGGTAAATTTCGTGAGAAAACAGCCACCAAAGTTTGATAACTTCAATAGCTTGAGAGCCTTTAAAACTGAAAAATCACAAATTTTGTGCATGTAATGAATGTTTTTCAGTATGGACGTAAAAAGTGTTTAGCGCGAAAAAAAAAATTCAATAAAAGTTCCCAAACATGCGGAAAAGTGCCATTTTTTTTCACTTTCATTATTTTGACGAGCGCCTGATTTCACCACGCTGCCTCACAATTAGAGTAAATCATTCAAGGAAATTATTGCATACACTCTCTTTCTTACTAATAAAAAGGAAAAAATTGAGACTCGTGTCTTTGACAAAAGCGCTTTAATTTTTTATTTTTTTAAAGTTACAATGGAATTCTGATAAAGTCAACACCCCGGACAGAAAAAAAGGGTTGACTTTGAGCAAGTTTGACTTTATCTATTGTACTACTGGCCATTGAAAATTGAAGATGACAGCTACAAAATTACAAAGTACCTGGTAATAAGCAAGATGTAATCTCAATTTCAGGGAGTATAATTCTGAAGTTGTCACCAAAGCAAGAGATAATGAAAGAACAAAGTACATAATATGTAATTGGAGGTGTGTACACCACTTGCTCAGGCGAAATATCTCTTCTTGAATGAATTCATCTTAGGATTTAGCCGCAAATTGTTGACTTTACGAAAGGTTAACACTCAAGCGGTTGACTGTATCAGAAACACAATAACTTAAACTTAAACAAAGAAGGTAAGAAACGGGACAAAAAAAGCAAAAGTTGACTTTATCAGGATTCCACTGTATCTCTGTTATTACTGATCATTTATGCTGGAAAAAAAAGAGAAATCAGTTATGATCCACGTATGCAGAGTTCATCATTTTGTCGAAAATATTTTTTCACACACTTACACTTTTCTTACAGGAGCCAAAGACCCCCCCCCCCCCCCCTCCCAGGCGTAAGATTATATTTGAACGGCCCCTTGTTGCAGTGGTTTTTGTTCGATTTTTTTTCTCTTTTGATTTCTCTTTCTTCTGGAGCATTGTGTTGTATTCCTTTCAGCCCAAGATAGACAGATGGGAAAGTGTGCTTTAATAAATAAACTGAAGCTGACGCCACACAACAAAACTCTGTAGGCCTACTCCCCAAACAGAATAAAGACGCTCTAAAAAGACCCTGTGTGCCCTCAACCCCTCCTCCAACAAGGAACAAAAATCTCCTCTGATGTCTGAACACCCACCCACCCCCCCCCCCCCCCCACCCCCCTAAAAAAGGCAGGTGCTCTCTCCAATTTAAAAAAGAAATCGGAAAACGATTAACAGTATGTTTAAGCAAATCAACTTTTTAAAAAAAAGGAAACTCGTAATTTTAATTGAAGCTAGATCTAACTATCTAAGCGGCTAAGCCACACTCGCACACACACACACACACCACACACACACACATACACTGCTTTCAATAATGACACAAATATATGTATAATAGGCCCCTTGTGTTTAACAGATGGTATTGGAAGAGATTTCGGATTATGGCTCAACAGTAGCCAACAGAGAGATATATATGGGTTTTATATATGTTAGAGGTACCCATGACACAGTCGAAGAAGCACCAAAACGGTTTTAATCAGTTTTATTTTGCACCAGGCAGGTAACAACTCCACACGGAGAAGAGCGACAGCTGTAGGTGATTTGGCTATCGTACTTTCATTGTTTTAGCTCTTAAAAGGGCCCTTGGCCTGGCCGATGCCCGAACTGCCTCATAGTAGTACGCATTCTACCGCTGTATCTCGGACTCCTTGAACTCCTTGAACTCCTTGAACCAATAAAAATTAGCAGTACCCTGATGACTACAGTGGAATCCTGTTATAACGAGAGGTAGGGGACCGGTGCGAAATGTCCGTTATACCAGGATTCTCGTTATAAGGAATCCAGTAATAAATTGAATGGAAATAATGAAGTAGGCCTAATCTATTAGTTTGGTGTTTTGTTTATTTCTTTTTTTTATTTGATGATGACATTGTTTAACATGACCTCTGGGTCTTACTTGATCAAAAAATCAAATCAGGTTTCTTTCTCAAGCGCTAGCGATGTTGACAGCACGGCGTTGGCGATCAGAAAGAATGCGCTCTGGGCTAACTCGCCCTCTGTGTTGTCCCCCACCCCATCACACACAGTGGTGTGTTTCGTCTGCTTGTGCACGTTACTACACATTCACTTCATCCATCACAGCATTGTGACCTCTCCATCCTCGCATCAGAGAAGTGAGGGCATGGGTAGTGGTAGGCCTAGATAATCTAGACTAGGCTGGCCTATCACACGATGAGTTCTGCTTGTCCGCGCTTACCGCACCCTCCTCACTCATTCGCTCCGACCTTCATTGTTGGCAAACAGGGGCTCTCCTATTCTTTATTTCGCTCAAGGAGTTGATGTGAGATCTTAGGTTTCGCTAGATCACCTACAAGTTTCTCACCTGGCGAGGTTTATATGTGTAACTGGCCTGTGCGCTGTGCACAGCAGCAGCAATATTCCGTTATAACCGACTCCCCTGGTTGTCCGATTGCGCTATAGTAGTATTTTATTTACAAAGATAAAGAAGGGGAAAAAACGGGGTTTTAGAACAGTGTCTTTATAACAGACTTCTCGTTGTTTCAGGACTCGTTATAAGTGGACTCCACTGTATTAATTAATTTTGTTTTGGCTCAAACACTTTGAAATTTTTTTAACTCATTAAAAAATAAATATGAACAAGACATAATCCAGTTATTGATAAATATATTTATCAAGGGCGTCAGCTCGAACTCACAGTGAAAACGATGCAGTGTCAGAAAAGTTTGCCACCAAAAGTGGTGTGAGACAAGGAAACTCCATCTCCCAAACTATTCACAGCAGCAGTTGAAGAAATATTATTCAAAATGACAGAGCTCAGTAAAGAAACTGCTGTAGATGAGATTCGCCGATGATTTGACACTTGCAACTTGCAATGAAAGTGAACAACAAATTGAAATTAACCTCGACTTCAAAGCTAACGAAATGAAAATGAACTTGCACATAAACAAATCCAAACATAAAAGAAATACACCAGCGACAATACGGTATCTATAGATAGAAAACAGGTACGTCGAAAAAGTGAAAGAATCTAAATACTTAGGCCAGACAATAGGTATATGGAGTAGAAAACAAAAACTGACATGAACAGAAGGATACATATGTGGCTTGGAGTATACCAAAAAATATTACAGATCAAAATCTGCCTATATCTCTAAGAAGACAAGTTTTCAATCAGTGTCTTGCCCCATAATAAAGCTTTTTTGCTATGGGTGTCAAACCTAGCCAACTGCTAGAATATCGTTTTAAAAATTAATTATGAAGCAACACAGAGACCAATGGAAAGGAAGATGCTGAGTGTAAGAATACAAGATAACAAAAATAAAAACACACAGAAATACAATAGAAAACAGGAGTGGTCGATACCACCAAATGTATACTCCGACAAAAATGAAAATGGGCTGGTCACATTGGTACTAATTGGTAGAGTAAAGATAACAGATTAACGAAATGATGCTTTGAGTGGAGAGTAAGAATAACAGGAAAACGGTCAAAAGAAAGACCAGAGAGAAGGGGGCACGATAACATAAGAGAGAGCGGACGGGTACAATCCGGACACAGAGAACAGCTGACAAAACAAAGTGGAGGTCATTGTTGGAGGGCTACATCCTGCAGAGAACGGACAACGCCGAGGACAAAAGAATTATCAGTTGGGTTACCCGGGACCAGTATCAAGTTATCACACTCACACACACACACACACACATACACATACACAAACACACACACACACACCAGCTGTCTCGCAGCTGCTTTTGTGTGAGAAGGGCTTATATGAAGTACAGTTATAAAATGATGATGTTAAGCTGACATAATAATAATATCATACACGTGTATTTTTATGCCAAGATAGGTTAACTATGTGGTTGATAGGGTGTGTGTGTGTGTGTGTGTGTGAAAAGAGGGGGAGGCGGCACTATAATATTAATTGACTACCTGCGAAAGAATAATTTCAACGACGACAGTATCTTTCATTTTCAAACTGCAAGGTGTGCTAGCACAAATGCACTCTATTGTCTAATTCGGTCTGCGCTCAGATTTTCTCTCTTTCTTCTTTAAAAAAAAAATATGATCTACATTTTAACCCGGAAAAACATGATGCTCGTACTGTGAAACTTTATATCTGGGTCGAATTTATGCTTACTCGTGGATAAGTTTCGTTTGATGCGTCAAGTTTCCCACCTTGTAAGTTTGGCTTACCGGCATTTAATTTAACTAACTAATCTAGAGTCTAGAGTGAGATGGGTGATCGTGCAGTGATTTTCTTGAACTTAACTGAAGATCTTCTACCCCTCGCCCCATACTCCAAAAATAACAACAAAGTCTAAAGTAAAGTGTGAAAATACAAACGGCCTTAGGCCTATTATCAGGCTGTACCGTTATTTAATTTGGACTGGGGATCGGTAGGGATATAATGTTGCCTTCCCTGCTGTCATATGAGATCATGAGAAACAGAAGTTTGTAACAAATTTCAGTGACTACAATTATTTAGGTTGGTTTTGTCAACTTGGACAGTTCAGTAAATTCAAATGCAAATTTTAAAAAAATATTTAATACGATTCCAAAAAGAAAATACAACTATGAGATTTTATGCATGAAAAGTTAAAAGACAGAAATAATTTTATTTAACTAATAAATAATGTTGATCTTATGTAGAAGAGATATATGTGAAAAAGGAGATCAAAATACTTTTGTGGGTGTTGTTTTGCTCAAAAAGTCAGTCGTCATCATCATTGAAGAGGGAAACAGCCAAAAGTTGGTGAATAGGCTGGCAGAGGATAAATATCTATGAGATCGAGCATCACTGAACAGAAGCTATAATTAGGCTCATCATAAATTGAGATTACTGATTTCATTTATTCAGCATTATTACTAGATCTAGTCTCTTTTAACAGTTTATTTTTATTTGATGGGTAAAAGATCATTTTCAGAATGTATAGAAGAATATAGCCTACGCGTGATGCCTCAAGATCTCAGGTTACCCATTCTCTTATAGTTGAATAAGGTTCTGTATTTCTTAATTTGAAGATAGTGTTTGATTTTTATATGATCTGCAATTTTACATGTAATGTGCTACATAGATCACCTGTGTTGCATACTAAGTCTTGCTATTATTATGCATCTCTGCAGGTTTCTTCCGTGTTCTCAAGAGTGTCATGCAGTTATAAACGAGACTTTTATTTTGTTCAGATCACAATGACTGAGTCAGTTGGAAGAACAGAGTTGTTTCCTGATATAGAACCATATGATTCTGGTTTCCTTCAGGTAAGTGTCTTCTGTTACCCTTGAGACCTGTTCTGTAATGGTGTAAACAATATTTAAATTTAATTGTAGACAGCAGTTCAGTCCTTCAGCTGGCTTTATTAACTTAACTATATAATATAGGCTACTACTATGGATTTTATACCAAAGCTCAACAGGCTATATATTCCTTGTGATGCATGAATTTTCTCCCAAGGTTAGTGCAGTGGTAGGTTGCTTTTTGTAGAACTGTAGCTTTCCTCTCCCTTATTTTGTGAAAAGTTAGTAACCATCTTTGTCAGAATCCTTGATGTGTGCTTTCCCTTACTTTGGTTCCTCTTTTGTACTCATCAGGTCTCAGATCTACACAGTCTGTACTATGAACAGTCTGGAAATCCAAAGGGTTTGCCAGTTTTGTTTTTGTGAGTTCCTTTAGTTATCATGTAAGCAAAATGAATAACTTTGAATGTAGCAGCAAAAGTGTCTGTCTGAGTGTTCTGTATAGGAAAACACCGTTTAGTTGAATATGAAAATTGAAAAACAAAAGACATTATCTTTGGAGTAAAACTTGTGCTGTTGCTTGATTGTGAGCTGAAAAAAATATCAAAAGCATATATTTTACTCATAAGCCTAATAAATAACAGGGCAAAAAGAAGACTCCAACTTTTAAAGAAACTCGCAAGCAGTGCATGGGGATCAGACTAACAAACTCTGAGAGCTCTATACCTTAGTTATGTCCGATCTTCCCTGGAATACAGCAATAGCCTACTCATTATCATTATGTGCAGTACAACTGCCTGCAACACCCTTGACAAGGTCCAAAATAATGCCCTTCGTTTCATAAACAGTGGCATGAAATCCACACCTACTTCCGCTTGTGAAATTCTTTCAAACGTTGAACCTCTGGGAATTCGTAGAGATAAGTAGTTTAAGAGCTCCATGAAAGAACCAAAAGAAAGTGCCCCAACCACCCAAACAGGAAATCAAAGAAACGGCTTCAACAAATATATCAATCATGCATCACGTCACAGAACTAATGGAGAGTCACCATCTAACACGAAACAAAAGAGAAACCAAAAGAGTCAACCAAAACATCCCTCCCCACAGTTCTTTGGAAAAACAAATCATTACAACATCTCTCAGAGACAATAGGCCTAGCACAAAATCTTTAGACCCAATGACGCTGATGCTTGCATCACATCAAACAATCGACAATTATTCAGATTACTGGATACACGTCTATTCAGATAGCTCAGCATTCAAAGGCACTACCAAAGCCGATAGGAATACTAATACAGTTCCAATGATGTCTTTGCAGCCTGTGGAGAGAAATCCAACAAGTACGATGCAGAAATGATGGCAATTGAAACAGCACTATACCATCTCCGCACAGTTTTTGACACTCATCTAAAGAAAACACAGATACATAGTATTGTGATTTTCACTGACTCACTATCAGTCTTGCAAGCGACAGAAAATGGCCATCATCTAAACTAAGACTTGCCACAACTATTTGGCTCCCATCACCTGATAACATCCTGTGGTGTCAACCCGGTGATGCAGTGGATTCCCAGACACTCAAACATATCTGGAAATGACAGAGCAGACACACTCATCAAAAGGGGATCTAGACAGGAACTGTGGAATAATGTACATCACACAACTCTTCTGTTATAACTGTTAGGTACGTATCGGGATTTAGACAGTACCTTTCTTCTACTTAGTAGTCACTTTTCGGTTACAATGTACTAGAGGACTATAATAAAACCAAAGAGCCTTTTCAGACGTGCGTTTCTTCACTCTCTCTATATCTGTTTGTACCCACAAACCGAACAATATTACATGGTGGCAGCGGTTGAACACGGTATATAAGTGTCATTTCTTTACTTTTTGAATCATGGCTGAACACGACACGGATGTTAACATTCATCAGGCCGGTAAAACAACAGTTCATCGCCGCGTGTCTCTACCCCCGCCGAAGCCCTTTGATGGGAAGGCAGAATCGTGGCCTCGTTGGAGACAACGTTTCAACAGGTTTCGTTCGTGCACGGGTCTGCAGAACAAGTCGCAGCCAGAGCAGGTCAGTACTCTACTGTACACTATGGGGGAGGTAGCCGACGACATCCTCACGACTTTGGTAGTCGAGGAAAGCACCTCTACATACACAGAAGTGATAGAGGCGTTTGACACTCACTTTGATGCACGCAAAAATATCATTTTCGCTCGTGCAAAATTCAACAAACGCACTCAGTTACCGGGAGAGAGTGTCGATATATTCATCCAAGACTTGCACAGGCTCGCAGATGACTGTGGCTATGGAGCCCTCAAAGATGAGCTCATAAGAGACAGAATAGTTGTCGGAGTAAGGGACGATGACCTGTCCAAACAGCTCCAATTGAAGCTCAAACTCACCCTCAGCGAGGCTATACAAATAAGCCGACAAGCTGAAGCTCGTGACGAAAGCCAGACACTCGTACGACCTCGAGTTGAGCTAGTCACAACAAAGCCACACAACATGCGTAGTGCGTCGAGCGCTTCAAGGCCTCTGCACAAACCACACACTCCACACACAGGTTCCAAGAGACCTTGTGGATACTGTGGTCGCCTCCCTAGCCACAAACGAGACGCCTGCCCTGCCAAGTCGGCAGTCTGTGGTTCCTGTGGCAAGAGAGGCCACTATAAAGCAGTTTGCCGTAGTCACCCCAAAGTTCAGGAAGTCGGAATCAACTCCTACCACATAGCTGAGGCCCCAGACTTTTTAGGTTCCATCACTGTGAACGAAGTCGACAGCCCAGATGAGTGGTCTGCTATCATCAAGTTGAATTCCGTCCCAACAAAGTTCAAGCTTGATACTGGTGCTGCGGTCTCTGTCATCGGAGACAGAAGTGTGGACACAAGTCAACCTCTCAATAGCTGCGGCAAAATTCTAAAAGGCCCTGGTGACACAACTCTGTCTACTCTTGGCACCTTTGAGGCTGATCTAAAGTTCAAAGAAAAAGCCATGAAGGAGACAATATTCGTTGTCAAAGACCAGCCACATGCCCTACTCAGCAGGTCAGCTTGTGTAAAGCTGGGTCTCATTGCCAGACTCAATGCAGTCCACGAGACATCATCTGATTTCAAACGAGAGTTCCCTGATGTCTTCAAAGGACTAGGACAACTGAAAGACCCATACACGATCAAGCTACAAGAAGGCGCTGATCCTGTGTGCTTGTACACAGCACGAAAAGTCGCACACCCTCTACTGCCAAAAGTCAAGACTGAAATTGACCGAATGCTGGCTGAAGGCGTGATCTCACCCGTAACTGAGCCCACAGAATGGTGTTCCGGCATGGTTGTTGTGCCAAAGAGAAACGGCTCAGTGAGAATATGCGTGGACCTCACCAGTCTAAACAAGGCAGTGCGACGAGAAGTCCATCCTCTGGCATCCGTAGACGAACAGCTTGCCAAGCTTGCAGGGTCTACGGTATTCACGAAGTTGGATGCGACGAGCGGGTTCTGGCAAATCCCTCTCGATCCAGACTCCAGAAGGTACACTACCTTCATAACACCGTTTGGGAGATTCTGCTTTAACCGTCTTCCCTTCGGCATATCCTCAGCCCCAGAAATCTTCCAGAGGAAAATGTGTAACATTCTGGACGGCCTTCCAGGTGTCATTTGTCACATAGATGACATTCTCATTCATGCACCTGATCAGGACACTCACAATAAGCGAGTTAGACAAGTTCTGCAGCGTCTCCAGAGAGCTAAGATCACTCTAAACGACAAGTGTGAATTTTCACAGCCATCAATCAAGTTTCTCGGGCACATTGTGAACAACACAGGCCTCAAGGTAGATCCAGCAAAAGTGGACGCCATTCGAAAGTTCCCTCAGCCCAAGAACGTCACTGAGTTACAACGCTTTCTGGGAATGGTGAACCAGATGGCAAAATTCTCTCCTAACTTGGCTACTGCAACTGAGCCTTTGCGAGCATTGCTCAAAAAAGACTCATTGTGGACCTGGGGAGAACATCAAGAGGCATCTTTTCAATGCACCAAAGATGGCCTCACCACAACACCAATACTGGCACACTACTCGCCTGACCGGGAGACTATCGTTGCTGCAGATGCTTCCATGTCTGGCCTCGGGGCAGTACTTCTACAAATACAAGATGATGGTTCTCGCAGACCTGTCAGCTACATCTCACGAGCTCTGACAGATGCAGAAAAGAATTACGCAGTCATCGAGAAGGAAGCCCTAGCAGCAACATGGGCATCAGAACGCTTCAGTGAATACATCCTTGGAAAGCAGTATACGCTGGAGACTGATCACAAACCCTTGGTCCCTCTCCTCTCTACCAAGGAACTCCACAAAATGCCACCAAGGATCCAACGATTCCGTCTGAGGCTGATGCGATTTTCACCAAATGTGCTGCATGTTTCAGGAAAGCATCAGATCACTGCGAACGCACTTTCTCGTGCTCCGACAAATCTGCCTTCAGATGCTGAAGCACTCTTCGTTGACGAAGTGGCAGACTTCGCTCAACAGGCTATTGACAGCCTCCCTGCTTCACCACAGAGAATTCAAAATATCATCTCACAGCAGAAGAGCGACCCAGAAACGTCGGAAGTCCGGACATACTGTTCCAGAGGCTGGCCAGCATACATGCCTGAAAATCCACTTCTGAAACAGTACTGGACTAATCGTCACCATTTCAGCATTGTGGATGATATCCTTTTGTTTGACGATCGTCTCGTCATTCCACGGGATTTGAGAATGGACATTCTCAGTCGACTCCACGAAAGCCATCTTGGCATCACGAAGTGCCGAGCTCTAGCTCAAACTTCAGTCTGGTGGCCCAACATCACCAGTCAGATCGAGGACATGGTGAAGAAGTGCAACACTTGTGCAAAACTTCGACCTGTCCAGAAGGAACCTCTGCTCCCTTCCTCGTTTCCAGACCGACCTTGGTCTCGATTGGCCATGGATCTGTTTGACCTGAAAGGTCAGACCTACATCGTCGTGGTCGACTATTACTCTCGTTGGGTAGAGCTACGCTTACTCGAACAGCTCAACAGCGTATTCGTTATCAATAAACTCAAGTCCATCTTCGCCACTCATGGCATCCCAGAGACAATCGTGTCCGACAATGGCCCTCAATTTTCAAGCGCCAGCTTCCAAGCTTTTGCAAAAGAGTTTGGTTTCATTCACGTCACCAGCTCTCCGAGATATCCTCAGAGCAATGGTGAGGCAGAAAGAGCAGTGCAAACAGTGAAGCTTCTCCTCAAGAAAGCCAACGATCCGTACACTGCCCTCCTGCTATACCGGGCTACTCCTTTACAAAACGGGTATGCCCCAAGTGAGCTCCTCATGGGAAGGAAACTCCAAACCAAAGTTCCCATTATGCAGGACAACTTACACCCAAGTTATGTTGATCTACCCTCTATTCGTCAAAGGGAGGAGAAGAGGAAAGAGATCATGCGTTTGCAATACAACAAGAGACACGGTGTCAAATCTCTTCCAGAACTTTGCCCCGGTGATTATGTCCACATTCGAGACCTAGGCCGACCGGGCATCGTTAACAACAGACACCCCAATCCGCGCTCCTACACAGTGACCACTGAAAAAGGGAGCACCGTCCGCCGTAACAGAAGTCATCTCGTGGCTACCCCAGAGCCTACTACAACACAAGAGCCCGGAGACAACACACCGTCTTCGACACGGCAACCTGATACCCCAAGCCCTGCTCGGGAGTCAGCGCAAACGCCGGCGGCCCCAGTGCAGACACCACGGGTCAGCCGTTACGGCAGAAAAATCAGAGTACCAACGAGACTAGACCTGTGACCCAGTGACTGTGTGACCTATATTTAGCTCTGTGCTTTAAATTCTAATCTAAGTCTGAAGAACTCTTTAATTAAGTGTTGTAAACAAGTGAAACTTATAGAGATCTATTAAAATAGATGATTAAGTACTGGGACAATAACTTCGGGGGGAGATGTGGAATAATGTACATCACACAACTCTTCTGTTATAACTGTTAGGTACGTATCGGGATTTAGACAGTACCTTTCTTCTACTTAGTAGTCACTTTTCGGTTACAATGTACTAGAGGACTATAATAAAACCAAAGAGCCTTTTCAGACGTGCGTTTCTTCACTCTCTCTATATCTGTTTGTACCCACAAACCGAACAATATTACAGGAACAGCCCGACACTCTAACCTCATACAACACTGAAACAAATCACTAAAAGCAACAGCAAAAAAGACTGGATGAACAGATGGGCCTTGGAAAGACAGGCAGAGCAGATTTCAAACATATAACCACAAAGTGAAATGACAATATCAACCACCTACAGAGAAATGAACAGACCACCTACAGCTCAACTTTCACTTGAACAGAATAACCAAAACTACCCCCAATGTGTCATTTATGTGACTATGCATTATATGAGACCGTGGATCATCACCTGTTCCACTGCACAGCCCTAAATGACATCAGAGCTACACTTGTCCCTCCGAAACCTAACTACACACTCTATGGAACATTACAGCAACTGCAGCAAACATGCACTTATCACAACATGGCATTGCACAGAAGGGCGAGAGCTGAGCTGTTTCTGGATCACTAACAACAACACATAAGCCTCATGAAAAAGAGAAAAAAACATATTGATTCTGTTTGCTTTAACAATTCCTGTCTTTTGCCTTAGAGTTGCCAGGGTAAGGGAGATGGGGGGGGGGGGGGGGGGGAGGGTTGATCACAGAAAAAAAACAGCATGGTGACTCATGATGTATCCCCAGAAAGCTTTGCCAACAGACACAACATTATAAAGGAACTCAGATTCAACGAACTCGGATCCAATGAAAACTCAGATTCAGCTAAAGGAGATTTGAACCTGCTCATAGCACTGTTTGACTGTGGCAATTCATTGTTCCACCACCCAGTGCTCAAGACTGCCCTCTCTCCTTTCAAGACAAGATGCTGCGAACACACTCTTTAGGACAAAGAATGTTTAAAGATTTCAACTGCAATATTTAATGATATAATATATATGTACCTCTTTATGGGATACCACCAATGTGTGGAAACCTGTGGATACTGGATATATGCAGTTGTTGTTTCATGACCTGTTTACCACTTAACACAAAGTTCTGGCTCAAAAAGACAAATTTCTCAGTGCAGATGGTTAAACTAAAGGGTAGCTCCCTTATTCTGAAGCCATATGTCCTCCTCCTGGTCATCTTATGTCTTGTTTTTGGGGGATATTAATTCAGTCTTGTACCATGCTGGGTATCAGAGGGGAACAAAAGCTGATATATGGAGATTCCCAGAGAAGGACAACTCTTAGAGCCTGTAGATGTGGGAATAATTGGAGGGCATTCTTGTCTATTTAGTCTGCTCCGTCAGTGGGATATTTTACCATGGTAATCAAGTAAAGCTATTCAGGTACTTTTGCATAGATGAATGTTCATGCTTGTAAAATCTGCTCAGTATAGGGATTAATACTACAGTGATTTATTTCTCTGTGTTGATATTTTTTTCTCCACTGATCAGACATGGCGGGCCAGGTGCAGGTGTTGTGGTTCCACGGGAAAGATGCTGGTTTGACCCCGAGTATTACAGAATTATCTTGTTTGATCAAAGAGGAGCAGGCCGATCTAAACCATCGGCTGAACTGAAAGTAGGCTTTAGAAGGGTTATTTTACAACACCTTCAGAACTTTTTAAAAGTTGGGTTTTGTTTTTAAGTTTCTGGTCTAAATAGTTCAGTTATCCATAATCATAAAGTGTAATGTTTACTGTCATATAATGATTTCCCCTCAGAATTTACCTTCACATTTAAATGATTGCAACTGAACCCAATTCAAGGTCAGTAAACAAGTTATATTATTGATATTTTTTAAGATGTTTTTTACAAAATTGCCGAAGTTTCTCTCATTAGAAATGTGTATTTTTATAGTGTAGTCTAAAAGAGTGACCAAGGTCCTACTTGATATTTTAAAGGCGTCGCACAATGCCTTCGAGTCTGCTGAAACCTAAAAAATGCTAATTTTCAGTATGTTAATCAAAAAGAAAACAAACTTACTGGCTACTTATCTCTTAAGTTGTGTTTGTGGCCTCTATACACTATTCTTTGTTGAAATTGCTTTACTTGATGATTCATCTGTCTCTTTTGTTCGTGCTCCATCAGGATAACACAACTTGGGATCTTGTCTCTGATATTGAGAAGCTGCGAGAAAAACTGGGTGTTGAGGCCTGGGTGTTGTTTGGCTGGAGCTGGGGTACTACCCTCACTTTAGTTTATGCTGAGTCACACCCACAGCGAGTTAAAGCAATCATAGTTCATGGAATATTTCTATGTACAAAGTGAGTATGATTACGTTGCTCTTATAATTTACCTTCAGGTAAAAGAGGTGACATTCTAAATGAAATCATTTAGTCGTTTCACTAACAGTTTCTTGGTTGACACTAAAGTTTGACTCAGTGCAAAAGAAATGTAGTTCTTTGTGATATAAATATATGCAGTGACTTGTCAAGTGTTCTGTGCACTCATGCATTTTCTATACTTACTTTCAATTAATATATCAAAATGTATTAATGATCAGCTTTTTTGTTACTTGTATTGTTTTTCAATTTTGGAAAATCCAAGCAAAATTCTTAATCAGGCTAGTCAGTTACCAACAATCTGCAGATGAAGCACAATCTGGGGGAACTATATTAGATTAGTGTACACTAGATTTTGTTAAAATTTGATGACATGAAAAACTTTTTTTCAAGCTTAAGACTGTACAGTGGAGCTCGGATTTAACAAGCTCGGATTCAACGAGAACTCGGATTCACCGAGAGGAGATAGATTCCCCGGGGTTTTTTTTCTTCTTTTAAATCAATAAAAAATAACCCGGATTCAACGAGCACTTAAATCAGCAAGCTCGGATTCAACTAGGTCGCTTCCAGGGGGAACAGCCCCCACAGACGTGGCTTCGCTCTTTTTTCTCCCAGAACGAACTTTATCTATTCTCGGACACCATCCATTGCACCTGCATCCCGAACTATTGTTTACTTCCGATTGAATGCGACCAATCAGCGGCCTTTTTTCATACCAACACATGCGTTGTTGGCACATGCACGTGTATACTCTGGCGTGTGTCAGGGTCGGATGGGCGGCCTGCACATGTGTGACTGTGTCGGGGAGGGGGGAGGGGGCACCAGCGGTCCGGGCGTTGAACGTCGCAGATATAAACGCGTCACAGTCTTTTTTACCCTCTGCATCTGATCATTATTATATAAGCTAGTATTGACGTAGATCTACGTAATGAAATGAGCGCTTGTCTATGGAATCAAAAGTTGCCGTGTGCTAGGCTCTACACAGCAACACAACTTTTTGGCAAATAATCGAGATGACACAGGCGTGCATTTGAATGAATTGGTCTTTTTTTTTTTTACACAGCTCATAATATGCAGGCATTTCAGGCACTACTTGTTACTTCTCTTTACACATTATGTGCTCAGTGCCTGTAATAATCTACACAAAACCTCTTGTTTGCTATAACGAACTCTCGGATTCTACGAGGTTTTAGGTCAGGCCCAGCGACCTCGTTGAATCCGATTTCCACTGTACTAATTCTAAAAAATTGCACCCTTTTTATTCATTGAAATGAAAGAGCCACATTAACCTAAATTCCTGCACTATTGCTTTCTGTTGTTGAAAGTGAAAAGGCGGAATCACTATAAAAACTCTGAAACTATCTGAGCTCGTTTGTTTTAATTTGCTAAAATCTGAACAAATCCAACTCTCCGTGTTTTGTCCTGTCGGAAATCTTCCTTCCCAGTCCCAGGGAATTTAGAATCCAAATGTGTACACGCTGTGTGTGGGAAACAATTGAAGAGTGATTTTCCAAAACTCTATGCCAGTTTTGAAGGACTGATTTCACCACGATGCCACACACATACATGATATATACGCTTGTGTATGCTACTTATGTCATAAATACATGTGTATTTATATGTGAGGCAGGGTGGTGAAATCAGGTGCTCATCAAAATAGTCAAAGTGAAGACGCTGGCTTTTTTCCGCAGGTTTGTGAATTTTTATCGAATTTTTGCTCTTTGACTCCATACCTTTCCTGCCCATTAAACAGCACATTTCTGTGTGGATTTTACTGAAAAACGTTAATTAAAGCCACAAAAAATGTAAATTTTCAGTGTCCACAGACTCTCAAGCGAAGGAAATAAATCGTATTTGGCAGCCATTTTCTCACTAATTTCACCTCTGAAACCAGGAGATCCCCACCTCTTTCATTTACAAATATCTCGACTTCTATTCAAGACAAATGGATATATTTTTTTCATCCAAAGCAAGACAAATGAACAAGCTTTAAGATGATACCAAATACTCTACAAGCACTAAAATTGACGAGAGCCTGATACCACCGTGTCGTGACACATATGTACGTGGCATCAGGATGAAATCAAGTATTGTCAGGCGCTTATCAAAACTAACTTACTGAATTTGGGAAAAACCATTCTTCAATTGTATTTAATGAATTTCAATGTCAAAAAAGCCACTGCGTGTATCACTTTTGACCATATGTTTTAAAGAGAATTACATCGACATAGTATGATTGTCATTTTTAGACCAGGCGAACAGAAAGCTCTGTTGCCAATTGTATGCACATAGGTGTGTAATTGAATATATAGATGAGTAATTGCAAAAAAATTTTAGTTTCACCAGAGCTGGGATAAGAAAGCTCAGGCACACTGATTTGATATGTTTTATCATTCTTCATTGGTATTTTTTTTTGTGCAGGAAAGAAATAGATTGGTTGTATGTGGATGGCTGCAGCCAGATCTGGCCTGATTTGCATGAGGAGTACTTGAAGATAATCCCACTTGTAAGTTTCTAAATGTTTTGTATAGTGTAGATCTACTTAATTTTACATGTTCAGCAGTTTTTTGTGTCTTCTACATGTTTTTTTGGGGGCAACACATAAGTACTATTTATTGAACCCCCCAGAGTGGTGCTACTGACTGAAGTGTCTTAATTCAGGCCATTCCCAAAGGGGGGCCCATTAACATGTTCTTATGCACAGTAAAATTGTAAATGGATTGATTCATCAATGTAATGCTCATAACTGCCTGAATCACAACAGGGAACTGCTGCTTTTTCTTTCCTAATCCTTACTATTGTCATTTTTCCTCTACTTTTGTATGTTTGTCACACTCTTGTAAACCGGGGTGCCTTGATAGTCGAAGCTGACTTTCTGCTGTTGAAGCTAGAGAGGTGAGCAGAGTAAGCCTGATTCCCTGTAAGGACTTCTCTGTTGACATCCTCCCCTTGGCGCTCATATGACGTTATGCAGTTGCGAGTGCCGTAAAAAAAAACTCTTTAAAAAAACTGTTTATTGATTGATTTTCTTGGTACTGAATTCAAATTTTATACTTTGTGTGGTTAGAGTTCAAATTTTATATATTCTCCTTCGTTGAGTGCTTTTCCTCTTGTCCTGTTCCTCCTTTGAAATTAAGAAGTGATCAAAATTGTGTCCTGTTGGAAATGTTTTTCTTCTTCTTAAAAACACTAGCTTAGCACCCCAGTCAGGAGATACGGGGAAGATGTGACAGGCAGGCCCTGGATGAAGTGAGAGAGCGGCTGAAGGAGATTCAGAACTGGTTTTCCCCTTTAAATCACAAGGCAGAGAATACCAACTTTGATACAATATGAGGTTTCATGAATCAGAAATGCAGAAACCCACGGAGAAGACCACAAGCTGTGCACATCCACAGATTGAAACAAAGCTTTTAAGTGCTCAGAGTGTGGCAAGCTCTTTTTTCCCAGAATTGGTCTCATCAGCCATAGCAGAAGCCACAAATCATCTTAACCCTTTTATATTCTGTTTCTCTTTAAAAAATATTCTCCTCTGCAGGTGCACTGGTCATCATCAGACATTGATGGAGGAACTATTATAATTATTATAATTATAATGGTGAGAATACCCGACCAATAAGGACACTGCTCTTTTAAAAAACAGTGGCTAACTTCTGCAAGTTCTTTTGCCAAAAAACTAACATGAATGCAAAAAGCATTGAACATGTATTGTCATTATAATAGAAAAGAAGGAAAGTATGAATGGTCATTTGTCTTGGACAGATTGCAGTTAGAGTACATTTGGCTGTAGTTGATAAAACAATACCCACTTGATACGAATTGTAAACTGCTTGTTTCGTCGTATACATGTGCAGGAAGAGCGTAAAGACTTAATCAAAGCCTACAACAAACGTCTGAACTCAGAGGACCACAACGTGAGTCTTCCTGCTGCAAAAGCCTGGTCGTTATGGGAGTTGCAGATCATGAGACCTCAGATTGACCCCTTCTACGTGCAGTTTGCAGATGATGTAGAGTTTTGCTTAAACTTTGCGAGGATTGAATGGTAACTAAATCAACTAAGAATTACTGATTCTTTCATAGTTTATGCACCTACTGTATTTTTTAGTCTGCTTTCATTCTCTCTAAAATTATATCATGTGAAGGTCTGTGACTGCTCTACAGTCCAGTTTATTCAAACGTGGCCAACACATGGAAGTTGAGGGTGGGTTTTAGAATTTACAATGATTACATTACAGAGGATACTTTTCTTCTTAACTCAAAATTGTGATAGAGGAGCAAAATTCTCTGCCTTCAAAGTGACCTAACATCATGTTTTGTGGGTATTGAAATTTTGACAAAAGTTATTGAAAGAATACTGTACTTAATTAAAAGGCAAAGATTTCCTTTGGATCTTCTACATTTATATAATTCTGCTCTGTATTTTTTCAACATATTTTCTGATGGGTTTGATTAATTTTAAACTTTGCATGTACGTATGGGTTCAGTTCATATATATATATGTGTGTGTCGTGTCGTGGTGGAATCAAGCGCTCGTCAATTTTGGGGCATATGGAGTTACTGGTATCATCTTAAAGTTTGTACATGTTATGTTACGACTTACTTGAGTCTTGGAGTAGTAGATCTAGATGATAGTTGATGTTGGTGGGGCCCCACTTGCCGGTCGTCTGGAAGTTCTTCGTTAGCCGATGTTACTCGCTTCGGCTTCAGTGAGAGAGTGACCTTCAGATTTCCCGCCGCTTGCACGAAATCACAGTCACGTGATACGTCCCTTAGGCCTACGTCACAATAATTATTAAGGTGTGTTCACACTACATGTCCTTCTATTCTTAAGGTGCGTTTACACCACATCTCCCCGTCTTTATATGAGGAAATAACTTGAAAGGGCCAAAGCCCCAAATAACAAAATCAACTCTTAGGGCGACAACTATAACAAATTAGTTTCCCTCCCAGGAACAAAACACTATATACATCATCTGATATTTACACCACGAAGAGAGAGTACTATAAATCCAGTACCTCTCTCGGCTTGACCAGTCTTCCACTTCTAGTGACAACTGGCTTTGTCTCCGTCTCATTGAAAAGGCTACTTGCAGGATCAATTTAAATTATCCCTGGCTCAGTTTGAGGTTGCCCTAACGTTGGTAAATTATTACTGTCCATGGGTATAGTAGGAGGTATGGACAGATGTTTATCCGATCTTTTTCTAACCTGTTGTCGGTTCCTCAGTGTAACATGTCCAGAAGAAGTTTGGACGTATACAGATCTTGGAATTACTTTTGCTTCCTCCAGCCTCGGAGTCTTAAGCCAAACCGACTGTCCTGGTTTTAACTCTGGTAGATTTTTCACTTTATGCCTTCTATCAAAATTCTCCTTGATATTTCTTTTTATAATAGCATCTTTCCTCTGGAATTTCGTATCGTTCTGTCCTTCCTGCAAGGATGGTACTCTAGTTTTTAGTTTCCGGTTCATCAGCAGTTCAGCTGGACTCTGTCCCTGGGCCAAAGGTGTGGCTCTGTAATTTAAAAGGGCCAGAAAAGGGTCCTGTTCTCTCTTGAGCATGTTTTTAATTGTTTGGATTGCTCTCTCTGCTTCTCCATTAGCCGACTGATGATGAGGGCTTCTTGTAACATGTTTATATCCATAATAGGAAGTGAAGTTACAAAACTCTGCTGAAGTATATTGCGTCCCATTGTCAGTAAGTACTGTCCTGGGAATACCCATTCTTGCAAAGATAGCCTTGAAACTGTTGATAACACTCTTGGAAGTAAGAGAAGTAAGGTGTGAAATCTCAATCCATCTGGAATAATAATCCACCACCAGCAGATAATGTTCTCCCTGCCATTCAAACAGGTCACTTCCTACTTTTTCCCAAGGGTGATCTGGAGTTGGAGTTGGTACTAGCGGTTGAGGAGGCAATACTCTGTGTTTTTCACACTCAGGGCAGTTATTCACTAGGGTTTCAATATCCTTAGAGACATCCCAGGCCACCAAATACAGGTGCGTGCTAAAGCCCTACACTTGACTATACCTTGATACCCCTGGTGGATTCTCTGGAGCATGTCTTGCCTCAGTGAAGATGGAATGACTAACCTGCATCCGTGCAAGAGATACCTTGCTCCACCGCCAAACAATGACGCTCTGCATAATATAATTTTAATATTCCATGCGTCCTTTGAGGCCAATGGCCCTGAGTGAATTGAATCACCTCTCGGCATTCCTTGTCGCTGTGCTGTGCTCATCGAACTTCCTCTAATTTTTCATCTGATATGGGGATCAACTGAAATATTCTACTGACTTCAACTGTTTCTTCTTCTGCTTTATCTTTTAGTGGAAGAGGCAGCCTTCTAGGGCAGGTAAGGTTAAATGGCTTTGCATTGTCTTTCAACTCAATAGTATATTCATTGCTTGTTTTTCCTAAGCCTTGGAAAAGACCAGCATACTTAAGTTTTGGGTCAAACTTAGCTTCTGACAATCCATTTACAACTTCCACCACTTTAAGTGCTTCAATGGCAGGTCTGCCTAACAGCGGTTTTCTGAGTCCCTTGATAACGTATAAGTCTTGTTCTGACTTACAACTGTTCTTTTTCAGGGTTGCTGTGAATACACCGATGACATCTAGTTTTGACCCTCCCGGTCCATAGAGTTTCTTGTCAGTTTGCTTTAGCACTTTTGTGTCTCTAAAATTTTTGTCTGAGACTACAGACACATCAGCTCCTGTGTCTATACGAAATGTCATTTTCTGACTGTTGACTAATATCTCTGTGTGCCAGTTATTCACCGAATGTATTTCGTGTATTGAACCCAGGATGGTTCTTGTGGTATTATCATCAGTCTGATTCTTCTACTCGTCTCACTTCTTTTGTTATGCACTGTGAAGCATAATGTCCTATCTTTTTGCATTTGTTGCACTCTGCTCTTAATGCTGGACAATCTTGGTTATTTCTATGTGAATCATATCCACACCTTGTGCATTTCCTTTTTGAAGATTGTTGTTTTCTATCCTTTGGATATTGTGACCTCTTATCACTTGAAAACTGCTTCTTTTCTTCTGGAAACAATTTCTTTCTGTCTTTTGACATAACTCTGTCAACTGCTAATTCTTTCATTTCATTTAGCTTGACTTGACTAGCCTCATAGGCTCTTGCTATGTCTATTGCCTTCTTGAGATCTAACTTGGGGTCTTCCAACAACTTTTCTCTCACGTGGTCAGTCTTGCAGTCAACTAAAATTTTGTCCCGAATCATGCGATCTTCAAATGCTTCAAAGTTGCACCCTCTGGCCAATTTTCTTAGCTCCGCAACATAGGCATCAATGGATTCATTAGGTTCTTGTACTCTGACATGAAAGCGGTATGACTTGAATGCCTCATGAGTTGTTCCCATGCAAAATTCCTCAAACTTCTTGAGTACTGTATCGATATCATCCTGTTCCTCTTTGGAACTAAACTTAAATCCATCAAATTTGTCCATCGCATCTTCCCCTATTACTGTCAATAAGACTGCACACCTAAACTGTTTTGACTCTTTGATCAAGTTTGAAGCAATCTCATAATTCTTCCATGCCCTCGAAAACTTTCTCCAGTTTGATTTCAAAGCACTTTCCTCGCTAATATTTAATTTTTGAGGCGGCTGTATTTGAGCATGAAATCTGGACTTTGTCTCTTCTATATTGAGGCTTGGTTGACTAGTTTCAATGGGTTTAGATTCAGGCGACTAGATTTAGCGTCATTGGCCTCCAGACTAGTTTGTATTAGAAAATTTCACGTGAATCTCGATCTGTGTCTAATCTACAGATCTAATCTAGAGTCTACATTCCGATTTCAATATTTGCACTTGGGTTCGTACTGTCCGTATCTCTGCGCACTTTTGACACCATGTTATGTTACGACTTACTTGAGTCTTGGAGTAGTAGATCTAGATGATAGTTGATGTTGGTGGGGCCCCACTTGCCGGTCGTCTGCTAGTTCTTCGTTAGCCGATGTTACTCGCTTCGGCTTCAGTGAGAGAGTGACCTTCAGACTTCCCGCCGCTTGCACGAAATCACAGTCACGTGATACGTCCCTTAGGCCTACGTCACAATAATTATTAAGGTGTGTTCACACTACATGTCCTTCTATTCTTAAGGTGCGTTTACACCACAGTTTATTTGTCTTGCTTTAGGTGAAAAAAATACCCATCTATCTTGAATATAAGTCAAGATGTTTGTGATGAAAAGAGGTGGGGATTACCTGATTTTAGAAGTAAAATTAGTGGGAAAATGGCTGTCGAGGTTTAGTGATTTCCTTAGCTTAAAGGTTCTTGGAAGCTGAAAATTGACATATTTTGTGTCTATTATCAACGTTTTTCAATAAAGTCCACACAGAAATATATATATTTAAATGAGTTGAGTGTAAAGCAGGCCAAATATATCACTTAGACACAGAAACTTGTTAACAAAGTATTAGATTCACATTTTCCTTGGTTTATTAATTTTCTTTTCTCTCAAGGTGTTAGATTATTATATTGTTATTTATAGTTACGATAGGCCTATATATTTTCTTTGAAATATAAATATTACATGCTGCTAGCAGGTTGGTAATCTCTTTCTTTCATTCCAGTTCCACGTCATTTTCAAACTCAGTATTCTGGTGCCCACTGGGGCTTCCACCAGCCCCTTAATTCATGTTGAACTGCTTCTAGTACAAGACTGCTTCTAGTACAAGACTGCTCTATACCATAGGAGGTATTAGTGTTTTGGACAAGATGCACCTGAGAGCACATCTAAAAGTGATATAGTAGTATGCACACATACACACACGCATGCTCACACACGCACACACACGCACACGCACACACACGCACACACCACACACACATAAAACACACACACATACACACACACACACACACACACACACACACACACACACACACACACACCCACACACACACACACACTCTCTCTCTCTCTCACTCACTCACTCACCCACATACACAGGCACACACACAAACACACACACTCACACAACACACACACACAAACTCACACACATACATACATACATACACACATGTTTATACATATATATGCATGCACACATGCACGCACACACACACACACTCACACACACACTCACACATGCGCACACACACACACACACACTCACACACACACACACACACACACACACACACACACACACACACACACACACACACACACACACACAACTCAGTAACATATTAAGCCCTATTTGTTTGTTTCTGTTTTATTCTTACCGCTTCAAAATTTAATTAAATTACTTGCTTCTTTTTCACTCTCCTATTAAGCGTCCCATAGGTCCCATTTCATGCCAGGCACTTCAGTAAACAATAATGCTTCTCTCTGATAATCTCAATTACTGTTAAATACATCTTCTGTCAGCCGACTCCCCTCGCTCATGTTCCCAGGTCCTTCTACTGATACTGATGTGAAATAAATGAAAATGTTTATCGAACGTCATAAGTTTTTATATATGAAGGAAGAATACAAGAATGAAAGCATCTGAGGAGACACATGATAATGCAAGTGTGTAAAATATATGTCAATTTTCTTGCTTTAAATTTAAATGCCTCAAGAATTTTCCAAGACATATTCCCCTAATTAGCCACATGTGCCATCATCTCTGAAGGTTTGAAGTGTAGACCAACACAGCACACATTATGCTATTGTCTATGTGATGGGACAGTGCCTATTTATAATGTCATCCATGAAAGTAATACACCATTTAAAAGTTTGTTGCATCTTCAAGTGGGCCTATTCCTAAGTTTTTCTCTGAGCACACATGTAGTGAACCCCTGCTGTATCAAACTGAATAAATCTCGAGTAGTAAGTTCACAGTAAGCGGACTTAATGGTCTATAAAGTACCGTATTGTACTTATTGACTTCAATGTAAGTCTCTGTGCTGTTTATGGATAACAGATTTTGAAATTCTCCTCAGCCATTATTTCCTTAATGGAGGTTTCCTGGAGAGTGACTCCTACATCTTGGACAATGTCCACAAGCTGAAGGATATACCCACCACCATTATAAACGGACGTTTTGATGTCATTACTCCCATGGAATCAGCATGGAAACTTCACAAGGTGAGCTCAACTTTCTTAATAAGAGTGTTCTGTCTCTTCCAATACCAGCTTTGGTCGAGGACCTGGTGATGTTGGTTGTTAAAGTTGATTTGATAAAAGTGTCTTGTCAGCTTCTTAAATCTGCATATTCTTTGTTTGATTCAATCTTTGTGAGCTACAGACATCCCTGATTTGAAATCACATTGTGAGTCCATCTTAGGCTCTCCGTTATTATTGGCAGATAAGTCGATGATACTGCCTTTTCCCTCCTCTCCATTTTGTTTGGACAGAGGGTGAGGGAATAAAGTATTAAAGGTTCGAAACTACTCTGGCTCATCCCAATAGTCCATCCCACCATAACCTTTATTATCCTAGCTGCAAAACTTAAGCCTGTGTCCATCTCTCGCAGCTTGTAACATACTGACTGATAGCAGAACACTTGAAAAATATTCTAGTAAAGATGAGAAAATTACAGACCCCACTCCAATTTTAACTCATGGGTGTGCTTGCCAAGTTTGTCAGTCAAATGCAACACTGAGGCTGGCCCATCTATGTTTACACTCTGATACTTTTGCTCATACATTTCCTGTTTGCTTAACTTTGGCTATGATGTCTAAGTTCACATTCTATTACATTTGTATGTTTGTCTTTTCTCTCTTTAGAGTTTGCCAAAATCAGAGTTAATTGTTGCGCCCCTGGATGGTCACTCTGAAAAAGATCTTGGAATTCTAATGGCTCTACTTAATGCCACAGAGAAGTACAAAACACTGCCTGTGGAAAATCAGTCATGCTGAATGACAAGAATCAAGAAGAAAGAGTGAAACAAATACTCCAGAGTTTATTCTTCATAAATTTCAAGGGAACTGACTTCTGTTGTAAAAGCATTTTGAATGTCTGTGATGAGGTTGTGATGATTATGGATATGGTGCTGTGATTAATATTTGAACTTAAATTGTTATTATTTTTTATAGTGAGCTATATGCTGACTTTCATTCAGTCAAAAAAATATTAATTACTACAGTAGACTTCGTTTAACACAAAGTCATTTGACTCATTACTCCTGGTAACATGAAAGGATTTCAAATCCCTCAGTTTTTTTTCCTTCAACAGAGGGAGAGAGGTATCAGAATGAATGTCTGTCCCACAAACTATTTTTGCCTTCATTTTTTATTATTTTTGACTGGTTCCAGTCTTCTTGAGCTGTGCCCCTTTCGTCTGTTATACCCTTGAATCAAAACTGTTATAATAGATTTGCAAAGACTTATACTCTGTATTAAAATATTTTCTACTTTAACTCCCAATTTGACTTTTGCTTTGACTTTTAACTTGTTTCATAAGCTTGCATTTTCTGTCTTCTCTGGTTCTCTGTGGTTGAGGCCCTTCAACATACTATGCAATCTTAATATGATAATATTATTTATATCAATGTCAACATCAGGACTTATGTAAATATGCAACAATACAGAATGAAGTTAATGGCAAACATGGCCAGAAAAGGAAAGGGGAAAAATAAAAAGTGAGTACGACCATAGGGCATGGCTGGAAACTTAATGTAGAATTGGAGAATGTGCAAACAGCAGAACTGCCATTTGTCCAGATTTATTGTGAATATTTCAACTCTTTTACTCTATTTTGAATTTTGTTGTTGTTATTTTGATCAAAGATTCCCCCCCCCCCCCCCCTGCCACATTTGTATCATGACGCAATTGAATCAGACACTCATCAATTTTGGGGCATGTGGAGTTATTGGTTTCACCTTAAAGCTTGAACATATGCCTTGCTTTTTGATGAAAGAAATACCCAGTTGTCTTCAATACCAAATCAAGATATTTGCAATTGAAGGAGGTGAGGGTCGTCTGGCTTCAGAGGTAAAATTAGCAAGAAAATGGCCCCCAAACTTATGTTATTTACATAGCCAGAGAGTCCATGAAAACTGTCAATTTACAATTGTTTTGCCTTTAATGAACATTTTCAAGAAAATCCACACAGAAATGGGTTCTTAAAGGGACACAAAATGTGTTTAGCCTTGTTGTTGTTGTTGTTGTTAGCAATCCAGTAGCATCTGAGTGTTAACTCTTCTGCATGATGCCATTCGGTAATAGCTACATGTTTGTTCTAATTGTTGTCTTGAGGAGAAGAGGCAATTAGATGTGTGGGGTAGCTTGGGAAGAAAACATTCCCATAAATCAGTTAGTTTTCTACAGAAGAACAGATGATGTTCCACTGTCTGAGCAGACTGCTTTACTCCAATTCGGTTGAGATGTTGGTTGAGGGGTACATGTTGTGTTCTGAGTTGGAAGATTATGTATTGATCTCCCCTCCTCAACTCATTGATTGGATCTTTGACCACTGGTTTATTCATGTCACCATACATCATCCTTCCTGTCGTACCTGTGGCCCAATCATTCATCCAGTCTTCCTTGAGGTTTGACTTGATCATTTGGCAGCAGGTGGTGTAATTGGTAGAAATTTCAGACTGAGGGAGGCTAGCTCCTTTCTTTGCCAGAGCATCAACTCTTTCATTTCCCGGTATCCCAGTGTGGGCAGGAAGGAATCCATTGTAGGACTACTCTGACTTGGTGCCTACTTATCAAATTATGTAGAGTTTCACACGTGTGTGTGAGTGTGTGTGCGTATGGGCGTGTGTGTGTGTGTGTGTGTGTGTGTGTGTGAAATTTGGTCCTGCACAACTCTCAGGGCTGGTCCCAAAATGGGACCTGATCCAGGGAGAGAATGCGCAAGTCATAAAAACGTAATACAGTGTATTCTGTGGGTTGCTTCCCTTGCTTCGAGAATACTGTCGACTGTCTTGGCTATATTTAATATTATGATTTATATCGTTCACTTTCATCTGACCGCGGTTAAAAGTTAAAACGGGATAAAAACACATCGCTCTGTTTAATTTTTCTGGATTTTTGCGAGCGGGTCTAAAAGTTAAACAACTAACAGAACCTAAAAGCCCATTTATAAAAGTAACTGTAAACTAAGGTTCCGACATGTTTTCTTTGATGTAAGCCTAAAGCGGTTCAAAAAAATAATAGGGGAATTACAGCACACAACTTAAACGTTTAAAGGCTGACATATTTTCCTCAACAACACTCTTTAAAATTCGCCTCAAAAACACGATTCAAGAGATGGGGTGAGTATTTTTCGGGACCCACGTGGAGACGTTGAGACAGCCGGGGGATGAAATCGACAATCTTATACATGTACTGAAATGTGGGAGCAGGGCGGTATCGCAGTCTCAAAAAGACCAATTTGCAGGCAAGGCAACTGTAAGAATTTATTTTAGTGATCCTGTTTATGCATCCAAAGAGTAGGGTTTATTTGGGAGGGGGGGGGGGGGGGGGTTATACACGGCCCAAAGAGAAAAGCTTTCTAATTACTGGGTCAAGATTTTTTTTTAAATATACATGTATTTTTGTTTGGTGCCTGGCCTGCAGTAGTGCCATGCAGTTTCGTGGGCATATGTAAATTCCTCATTGAGCTAGAATTTTTAACGCAGTCAGACGAAAGTGAACAAGCTACATGTACGGTACTGTCTTGACCAAAAGTTAAGGACCACAAAAGTGCACGTAAAATAAAAACCAGTAAATCAAATTATTCCTTCTTTGACATACACTTAATTCATCAATCCGTAAGTGCAAAAAAGAAATTTCATCACGGTGGAAACCGAAATGCCTAATTCTCAGCGCTTAAAAGGGACCTACCCTCAAAATCGAAAATCACAATATGCCTACGCAATCGCCTTTCATGGCGTCAACCTTCGTGCGCGTCGTCCAGCGTCTGAAAACCTAGATCTAAGCTGACCCAGAACCAGCGAGCCAACCGTCAAATCTGGCGCACTGCGCACCAGAGGTGGACACATGCCCAGTAGATAGAGGTCTTGTTCACTGATGAATCTCGGTTCTGTCTGACATCCAGTGATGGTCGAACCCGCATCTGGTGGCGTTCACGGGAGCAGCTTGCTGCCAATGCAGTTCAAAAAGTGGTCCCCTTTGGAGGCGGCTCCGTTATGGTTTTGGGGGAGAATCAGCAGGCATCACTGAACCCCCCTCTACCATGTCGACAGTATCCTAACTAACAGGGCAGCGGTATATGCAGGAGATCCTTCGACTTCTGGTTGTCCTGGCGCTGCAGCAGATTGGGCCTGCCGCTGTCCTTCAGGACGATAACGCCACGCCGCACCGGCCCAGGGCCGTCAACGCCTTCGTGCAGCAGGCGGGGATTACCCGCATGATTTGGCCAGCCGACAGTCCAGACCTCAATCCTATTAAACAGTTGTGGGCTGAGCTTGGTTGGAGAGTTCGGAAGAACCACCCTTTGCCCGATAACCGACAGCAGCTGCTTGGATGGCTGCAACAAGAATGGAACAACATTCCCCAGGCCTTTCTGCACGCCTGATCAACTCTATCTATGCGCCAGCAGTGCCATGACTACCTTGCCGTGAATGGTGGGCACACACGCTTCTGATAATTCCGTTGACATTCACGAACTTAAACCGGTCGTTTTCTTTGATACTGCTGAGACTATTTGAGACGTTTTCTTTTGTGACTTTCGATTTTGAGGGTGGGTCCCCTTTGAGCACTTGGAAGTACTCGTTTCGGTTTCCATTGTGATGAAATTTCTAAATGTATGTCAAAAAAGGAATAATTTGATTTGCTGGGG